GGTTCAGCCTCCTGATGAGTCGGTGAAACTCCGACGAAACAGTTTGTCACAGCCCCTCGTTTGTTGTCCTCTTCTCTCTCTCTGCCTACGGTTTACCGGGCAGTTCTATTTGTGACGATATATATATATATATATACAGTTTGTCACAGCCCCTCGTTTGTTGTCCTCTTCTCCCTCTCTGCCTACGGTTTACCGGGCAGTTCTATTTGACGATATATATATATATATATATCATCATAGAGAACTGTTCAATGAACCATAGCCTGAGAGGGAGAAGAGGACAACAAACCAGGGTTGGGACAGACTGTTGAGCCTCCTTGGACTCATCAGGAGGCTGAACTGTCTAGAGTCTCCAGAGTAAGGGCATCATTAGACACTCCTCGGGGACGCGAAATCCCCAAGGAATTGTTCATTCCACCTATCCTGGGGGATGCAATCCGAAAAAAAAATGTGAAAACGCTCATAAGGACATTCCTTGGGCAATAGGAATTTCCCCAGCCATTTCTTCCTTGTGCCCAAGGGACCTCCGCGTTTCACGGAGACGAGAGGGCACACGGGTAGATAGATGTTACAGCCGAGAATCTGGATCGTGGCGGCACCCTATTGGCTGAAGACCTGAAGCACAACTGTTTTGTTTTTTTCATTTTGACATCGGTCTTAGGAAATTTCCTCCGGCGACGTCCCTGAGGACAGGTGGAATGAAGGGCCCAAATTTCTTTTTGAGCCATTAGGAATCGTTCCTATTGCTCGAGGATTTCAATAGGAGTGTCTAACGACACCCTAACTCTTGAACAATGCCGTCAAATGAATGAGAGAGAATTTAGGGCTGGACCCCACTGGAAATACCTTGGAAAAGTGCGTTATTTTGGAAATCGTGGAAAGGGCACTTGGAAGATTCCGTGGATGAAAAGACGGGACCCCACCAAAGAGGCTGGAAAAGGCCTGGAAAAGCAATTTCTTCCAGACTTTTCCAAGCTCGTGCCGTCATTGTGGACCAGCGAAGCCCATTATGTCCGACTCGGGAGGTGTGGGTGGTGGCGTGTGGCCGCTGGAATGTAAGGTGCCACCTACCGGACACTCCATGGACCCGGGTCGTGCCAGGAAGTTTTCCAGACTTTTCCAGCCCGCCCCCCCTACCCAGTCCGTTTGCCACAAAATAGTGTCGTCAACTACGGAAAATGACACATTTCGGACCGAAACCACCTGTGGAAACGTCAAAGTGCCATCTTCCAGGAACACTTTTCCAGACTGTGGGGTCCCGGGAAGCGGAAAACGCAACAAAAAAAACACTTTCCAGGAAGTTAAACCCTATTTCTTCCAGTGGGGTCCGGGAAAAGCACTTGCGTCGCCCGTTTTCCAAGATTTTGGCCTGTGGGGTCCAGCCCTTAGAGATGGAGAGATTGTCAACGAGTGGAGTGGGGGGGAAGAAAGCAACAGAGTTCACAAGCCAAACTCAATATCCTCAGTCGGCGTCCCTTCCGTCATCTTTCTACTCCTCAACGACATTCAATTGGCTCCTCATTCATCTCTTTTTCTTCTTTTTTTCCTCCTCATCCATCTTGATTACTCCAGAGAATTCAAGCTATTGAATAACAATAACGTGAGCAATGCCGACAATTGAGTGAGAGTGAGAGATAATTTGGTGCCTGGATTTGACTTGTCAATGACCCTCTGACACCAAACAGACAAGTATTACTGTATCTTTCGGTGCAGCTTTAGAGGTCAGGGTCATTTCACAGCAAAAAATAAGTTGCGGGCGGGGTCCCACTTTCCTTGCAAATATAGATATTTCGGACAGGTACAACATTTCTGCTGCGAAACTTCAAAAACACACTTAGGGCCTCGTTAGACACTCCTTACGGTTTCCTTGAGCCACAAGGAAACGTCCTTGTGGTTTTGAAGGGGAAATTGCAGCGTCGTTACACTCATCCTTGGGGCCATCCCCCGAGGGTGTTTCCTTGTGGCTTCCCCGCGGCCGTTTTCATACGCAAATTAGCGGCCGTGGGGTCTGTCGTCCTTGGTCCAGCTTCTTTGTCCGTGTGGAGGCTGCGCGGTCCACCGACGCGAGGCGGGAAACGGCAGTCTGCGGGCGGCGCGAGGAGAAATTTAAACCCGAGAGCGTGGGCATTCGAAATTCAAATTTCGAATGCCAGCTTCGAAAGCAACGACGACGTGTGGCTGGCGGGACGACGGCGTCGTGCTGCGGAAAAGGGCCCGGTGGCGGCGGAGGCCACGTCCAGAGGGTTCCCTCATCTGCTCCCGCAGCGTGTTGTGCTTCCATCGCTGCGGAAAAGGGCGCGGTGGCGGCGGAGGCCACGTCGACTGCGCGTTGCTCTTCGCGTCCGTGCGCGGGGTTGTGAGCGGAGGAAAGGGGCCATCTTCTCAACGGACGTCTTCGGGACCATCGTCCGGCGCGGGAGGACGAGACAGACGACAGCGGAACGACGGGCTATGGAGGGCGGCGCCGCGGCTAGACGTGATGCGCTGAGTCATGGTGAGCTGCAGGCGGTGGCGGCGGCCGTGTCGACGATCGTTCTTCGATGTCAGCAGGAGAGGGCGCTGGGGCGACTGAAGGAGCATTTGCGCGCGCGTAGACGGAGGACGTTGACGCAAGATCCGCACGATGGTGCCGAGTTCGTGGCGACGTCGGAAGCTGTTGTTCATCTGTGCTATGCGTTGGGCTGCAGAGTGATACCCCGCGCGACGCCGCGGTGGTGGGTGAAGCGCAGGACAGGAGGAACGTGGGAAAACCTCAGGCTATGCGACGACGCGACTGACGACTACTTCCGCGATAAGCTGCGAATGTCGCCGCGAGTGTTCCGGGAGATCGCGGAGGCGTGTGCGCCTCATCTTCAGCGGCAGGTGACGCTCTACAGGGAGCCTTTGCAGCCGGACCAGATTGTGGCGTACGCACTGTACAGGTGGGCTTCAGGTGAGATGTATGAGAGCAGCACGTGCAACTTCGGGATCGGACGAGCTTCTGGGCTGATTGCCGTCCACGACGTGACTGCCACGCTGCTGAGGGTGTTCGGCGATAAGATAGCGTGGCCGACGGGAGTTCGTAAACAAGTCGTTCTTCAGGCGTTCGCTGATAAAGGCTTCCCCAACTGCCACAGTTGCATTGATTGCACTTACATCTACGTCGACAAGCCAGCGAATGCTCCAAGCGAAAATTAGTACGACAGGAAGTGCCGTTTCTCCATCGTTGCACAGGTCGTTGTCGACTTGGACTTGCGTGTGTTGGACGTGCACATGGGATACCCCGGTAGCTGCCACAACATCAGGGTGCTGCAGTTGTCCAGCCTGTCGCTGCGCACGAAGGAGGGGTCGTTGTTCCGCGGGCCCCCCGTCACACTGCCGTTCGGTGTGAAGACGAACGGTTACCTTCTGGCGGACAATGGGTACCCACCTGCCGAATGGATGGTCGTCCCGTACGGCCGTATCAATCAGAGCGTCGATCAGGAGCGGTTTGACAACAAGCAGAATGTGGCAAGGGGAGCGGTGGAGAGGGCGTTCGGCAGGCTGAAGGGCATGTGGCGGCTGTTTCTCCAAACACACAAGACAAACCTGGAGACGCTCCCGCAACTGTTTACCGCCGTCTGCATATCGCACAACTTACTGATCGACGCGGGGATCCCCTTCGACAAGAATCTGTTGTGGGAGGTCGACGGTAATGGTGTGCGACGACGAGTGGACCTGGGGATCGACGAGCCCCTCCAGCCTGTGTCGATGTTGACGTCGACCCGCGAAGCCTTAGCCCTGAGGCATGCTTTGGCGGAACGAATGAAACACGAATGAGTCGTGTATCATTCATGGACGACAGCACATGAAGATGGCTTAATTGCAACAATGGGCGGACAACAGATTGGTCTTTCCGTCCTCCCTTGATTGGGTCGCTGTCGTTTGTACCCCGACGGGGTTGGTGGTTTTTGTGGAGGGTCATTATTCGGATGGGGGAAGGCAGCGCGTGGAAGTGCGATCTTGGTGCAACGGCCGGAGGGCAGAATCGCGGTCTCGTCGGCCGTCGGCTTGGTTGCTAGCCCTGTTAGGCGTCGTGGTCGGCGGCTTGCGTCGACAATTGTGTTCGGTTGGCCTTCGCAATCCATGGATGTGCGTCGCGTTCCTTTTTTTTTTTTTTGTTCAATTTTGTTTTTTTGGATGCCGTTCATCAGGAGTACTGCGGAGCATGCTCATTGCGGGTGTGAGGTGCGCCTTTTTCGAGAAGAGTTAGCACATTTAGAGGTTAGAGGTATGGTGTTCATTCGGGCGGGCATTAAACTTTCCCCCCATCTCGGTTTCGAAAAAGAGTTTTGTAGTGCTGTGATTTCTTCTGCGACGTTGGAAGTACTTTTGACAGTCGTTTTCGCCCATTTCCATTGTGTGTTCGCATTCGGTGTGCGCCTGTTTCATTGCGTCAATGTCGTGCATTGACATTTGTGATTCGTTTGATGTTCTGCGGCCAAGTATTCCCTCGACTGATGAGTGCAACACGAACACATGCACTGTATGCCACTGGGATGATTCTGGAATGCGAACACACACACAAAAAAAAAAAAAAAAAAAAAAAGGAAAAAAAAATTAAAATGGTCTTCGAAGCGACAATCGAAAATGACACGTGCAAATGAAGATGAGATGTGTGAATGTGCATCGAGCAGTGCATGGACCGTCAGGTTAGGAAAGAGAGCAATCACACACTGCAAACATAAGAAACATCCTTCCCGAATCGAAGACATGAAGAAAAAAAGGTGCGCTTCTAGCGCGTTATGAATGTACATGACGCATGTTGCGCCGACAAGGAAACGTTAAACATCATCGCGGAAACCTAACTTTAATCCGCTCCTACAATCTACTGCAGACAACGCCTCGCACCGTCACATGAACACTGCGAACTGCCAAAGTAAATGAACAAGCAAGGACACCGACGAGCCAAGTTGCATCTACCACTCTTCCAGAGTGGACAGCCGGAAACGGAGGGCGGCTACACGCACGACAGACACGCTGTGCTCGTGCGGAACGAAGGGAGAGACCAACAACAATCTGTGTCGCGACGCGCCGCCACCTTTCCCGCCGTCCACGTGCTATCACAAGTGACAAGCAAACCAAGGCAATCCAGCACAACACCACCCCTCCACCCCCTACGCGTCGTTTTCGCCATTGTCGTCAGCGTCCTCCTCCAAGGGGCCCGAACCCAACCAATCCCTCTTCTTCGCGTCCTCTGGCCCCGTGATGCTCGCGCCGTGGCCGAACATGATGCCGCAGGAAGCCCAATCGGGGATGTACTTCGGGTACTCTCCTAAGGTGGCGTTCGCCTTCCCCAGTCTCTCCGTGACGACGTTCGTCGCTCGGATGACGGACCTTCGATGTTCGAAGGCGCGATGCATAGACTCGATCAGCGTGGGCTTCGCGACCAGCTGCGCGAAGTAGAAGGCTTCGTAGTGGCTACGATGATCGTCTCCCGCCATGCGCATCAACCACATGCAGGCAGCCAACAACAGCCTGAAGCAATCCGCGATCCTCGACAKACGATCGTGCGATATGAACCTGTCTCTTATACACATCTAGATGTGTATAAGAGACAGGGGATGTACTTCGGGTACTCTCCTAAGGTGGCGTTCGCCTTCCCCAGTCTCTCCGTGACGACGTTCGTCGCTCGGATGACAGACCTTCGATGATCGAAGGCGCGATGCATGGACGCGATCAGCGTGGGCTTCGCGACCAGCTGCGCGAAGTAGAAGGCTTCGTAGTGGCTACGATGATCGTCTCCCGCCATGCGCATCAACCACATGCAGGCAGCCAACAACAGCCTGAAGCAATCCGCGATCCTCGACAGACGATCGTGCGATATGAACCCGCCGTCGACATTGCCACCCATTTGCACGGCGGCGCGAAATGCATGCGCGACGCACATGACGGTCGACTCCTGGTACGCAGCCAGGTCGTCGTCCTCCGGCCTGTTGTCGATGTTCACCCCCGCAAACCACAGTGGCAAGTCCATATTGAGGTCGATCGTGTCCGCGCAAACGGGCGCGCTCACCACGTTGCTCCACTCCTCGCCGTACCACATAACGCGCGCAAGGTCCGTCGCCACTGACTTCAGCGCGTACTGGAAAGCGAGATTGTATCCTCGGGGGCGGTTCCCTGACTTGAACACCCACCCATGCAAGACGCGCAGAACTATGTTCTCTGCAGGCCCCCCGCGGATGGTCGCTTGCTGTAGCTGAGCGGGATCAGCAATCCTCGTGAGGGTTGTCGCAGATTTCAGCATGACAACGCTCCTGGACACGACGGGCGCTTGCACCCCGCTGGTGATGGCCTCGAAGTGCTCCAGCGTTCGATGGACGATGTCGTAGAGCCGGCGCCCCTCCCCCGTTGTCCAGAACACTTTGTCGTCGACCCACCGGCGGGCACGGTCGGCAAGATCTCTCGCCAACCCTCCCCTCCGCTCCCGACCCATAAGGGGGTTGTCGTCCTCTTTTTCGCCCTTATTCTCGGCGCGCGCAACCTCCCGCTCCACAACAGGAACCTCCTCTCTCTGGGCCACCTCACCTCCCCCGCGTTCGATAGACCATCCATCTGCAGCCGTGTTGCGCGGTCGCGGATGTGACGGCGTGGACGGCATGGCGCCCTAAGGTGGCCTTTCTTCATGCGCGACGCGTATCCTTACTCCCGTCGCCGTGGCACCCTGCATTGCATTTCGCTGCCTGCGGCTTTCCTCGTCGCCGACGTCGACGACAACCTCCTTTGCTTTCGTGTTGCTCTACCCACGACCTCGTTGCCCCTCCGGGGGGGGCGTGAGTAATCTCCTCGCCGCGGCCTGATCATTCTTTGCTTGAAGACTGCTGCCCCGGGGTGCCGGCACGGTGTGATCTGCTGCTTCCTCCTCTGTCGTGAACACGTCGTCATCTTCGTCTTCGTTCGATGCCGCCCAATACCGCCCTCGCAGGACAGGCACACTTGGTGATGGCTCTTCTGAACGGAGCCTCTTCGACTTGGGGACATGTCGTCGACCCCCTGCCCGCCCCTGGGTGTCACCCGAAACGTTCTCCCGCTTCTTGCCACGGCCGGCGCCTCGCGTAGACATGATTCCCGTGCACTAGTGTCGCAGTGGTTGGCGAGAGCGCTCCGCGGCGAGAACAAGATCTTCGGTGGTGAATGACGCCGCACCTCCGAACGACGTAGAGTTGTCCGCGACGATAAGGACAGTCTGCTCCGCGTGGACGTCCTTGTGCTTGCCAGACGATCGTTGGGCGCGATCGACGACGACAGTGCAGAAGTCCCACTTGTGGAGCGCGAAGACTGGGGCGACCATGCGATGGCTGCGCGGTGCGTCGAGGACAAAAGGCAGCTGGCGTCCCGCGCGGACTTCGTCACTGGTCACCGTGTGCACCGACCTCTAGTGCTGGATATGCCGCAAGGACAGCTTTATGTTGGAGCAGGCGCAGGCCCGCCAGAAACATGGAGCAGCTGGACGGGCCCCGAGCACGATTCTTCGCCTGCCGTCGTTGTCGACAGTGACACGTGTGACAGCAACTCACCAGACCTCCTGCACGCGCACGCCCTTCAGCTTTTGCGACGCCCACCGTCCCCGCCGCGCGTACAGACCCTTCCACGCTTGCACGGGGCGCGCGTCCATACAACACCAGGGGCCGAT